CCACCAATAAAATAGGGAAAAAGTTTCGAACAAAAAATGTATGGCGCACTTTTTGATTGGTCCAGCGGATGCTGAGCTACGCCATGAAACAAATTTGGAAAAATTTTCGAAAAATTAAATTTGCGAGATAATCGTTCGGGAATACCGCCAAAGTCTTTAGCAAAAAGTAGCGAACAAAAAATGTATAGAGCACTTTTTGATTGGTCCAGCGGATGCTGAGCTACGCCATAAAACAAATTTGGAAAATATTTAGAAAAATTAAATTTGCGAGATAATCGTTCGGGAATACCGCCAAAGTCTTTAGCAAAAAGTAGCGAACAAAAAATGTATAGAGCACTTTTTGATTGGTCCAGTGGATGCTGAGCTACGCCATAAATCAAATTTGGAAAATATTTAGAAAAATTAAATTTGCGAGATAATCGTTCGGGAATACCGCCATAGTGATTAGAAGAAAGTTCTGAACAAAAAATGTATGGCGCCCTTTTTGATTGGTCCAGCGGATGCTGAGCTACACTCAAAAATATTTTGGAAAAATTTTCCAAAAATTAAATTTGAGAGATAATCGTTCGGGAATACCGCCAAAGTCTTTAGCAAAAAGTAGCGAACAAAAAATGTATAGAGCACTTTTTGATTGGTCCAGCGGATGCTGAGCTACACTCAAAAATATTTTGGAAAAATTTTCCAAAAATTAAATTTGAGAGATAATCGTTCGGGAATACCGCCAAAGTCTTTAGCAAAAAGTAGCGAACAGAAAATGTATGTCGCACTTTTTGATTGGTCCAGCGGATGCTGAGCTACACTAGAAAACAAATTTGGAAAAAATTTAGAAAAATTAAATTTGCAAGATAATCGCTCCGGAATACCACCAATAAAATAGGGAAAAAGTTTCGAACAAAAAATGTATGGCGCACTTTTTGATTGGTCCAGCGGATGCTGTGCTACACTCAAAAATAATTTGGAAAAATTTTAAAAAAATTAAATTCGCTAGATAATCTTTTGGAAATACGGCTATAGTGATTAGAAGAAAGTTCTGAACAAAAAATGTATGGCGCACTTTTTGATTGGTCCAGCGGATGCTGAGCTACGCCATGAAACAAATTTGGAAAAATTTTCGAAAAACTAAATTTGCGAGATAATCGTTCGGGAATACCGCCAAAGTCTTTAGCAAAAAGTAGCGAACAAAAAATGTATAGAGCACTTTTTGATTGGTCCAGCGGATGCTGAGCTACGCCATAAAACAAATTTGGAAAATATTTAGAAAAATTAAATTTGCGAGATAATCGTTCGGGAATACCGCCATAGTGATTAGAAGAAAGTTCTGAACAAAAAATGTATGGCGCACTTTTTGATTGGTCCAGCGGATGCTGAGCTACGCCATGAAACAAATTTGGAAAAATTTTCGAAAAATTAAATTTGCGAGATAATCGTTCAGGAATACCGCCAAAGTCTTTAGCAAAAAGTAGCGAACAAAAAATGTATAGAGCACTTTTTGATTGGTCCAGCGGATGCTGAGCTACGCCATAAAACAAATTTGGAAAATATTTAGAAAAATTAAATTTGCGAGATAATCGTTCGGGAATACCGCCATAGTGATTAGAAGAAAGTTCTGAACAAAAAATGTATGGCGCCCATTTTGATTGGTCCAGCGGATGCTGAGCTACACTCAAAAATATTTTGGAAAAATTTTCCAAAAATTAAATTTGAGAGATAATCGTTCGGGAATACCGCCAAAGTCTTTAGCAAAAAGTAGCGAACAGAAAATGTATGTCGCACTTTTTGATTGGTCCAGCGGATGCTGAGCTACACTAGAAAACAAATTTGGAAAAAATTTAGAAAAATTAAATTTGCAAGATAATCGCTCCGGAATACCACCAATAAAATAGGGAAAAAGTTTCGAACAAAAAATGTATGGCGCACTTTTTGATTGGTCCAGCGGATGCTGAGCTACGCCATGAAACAAATTTGGAAAAATTTTCGAAAAATTAAATTTGCGAGATAATCGTTCGGGAATACCGCCAAAGTCTTTAGCAAAAAGTAGCGAACAAAAAATGTATAGAGCACTTTTTGATTGGTTCAGCGGATGCTGAGCTACGCCATAAAACAAATTTGGAAAATATTTAGAAAAATTAAATTTGCGAGATAATCGTTCGGGAATACCGCCATAGTGATTAGAAGAAAGTTCTGAACAAAAAATGTATGGCGCACTTTTTGATTGGTCCAGCGGATGCTGAGCTACGCCATGAAACAAATTTGGAAAAATTTTCGAAAAATTAAATTTGCGAGATAATCGTTCAGGAATACCGCCAAAGTCTTTAGCAAAAAGTAGCGAACAAAAAATGTATAGAGCACTTTTTGATTGGTCCAGCGGATGCTGAGCTACGCCATAAAACAAATTTGGAAAATATTTAGAAAAATTAAATTTGCGAGATAATCGTTCGGGAATACCGCCATAGTGATTAGAAGAAAGTTCTGAACAAAAAATGTATGGCGCCCTTTTTGATTGGTCCAGCGGATGCTGAGCTACACTCAAAAATATTTTGGAAAAATTTTCCAAAAATTAAATTTGAGAGATAATCGTTCGGGAATACCGCCAAAGTCTTTAGCAAAAAGTAGCGAACAGAAAATGTATGTCGCACTTTTTGATTGGTCCAGCGGATGCTGAGCTACACTAGAAAACAAATTTGGAAAAAATTTAGAAAAATTAAATTTGCAAGATAATCGCTCCGGAATACCACCAATAAAATAGGGAAAAAGTTTCGAACAAAAAATGTATGGCGCACTTTTTGATTGGTCCAGCGGATGCTGAGCTACGCCATGAAACAAATTTGGAAAAATTTTCGAAAAATTAAATTTGCGAGATAATCGTTCGGGAATACCGCCAAAGTCTTTAGCAAAAAGTAGCGAACAAAAAATGTATAGAGCACTTTTTGATTGGTCCAGCGGATGCTGAGCTACGCCATAAAACAAATTTGGAAAATATTTAGAAAATTTAAATTTGCGAGATAATCGTTCGGGAATACCGCCATAGTGATTAGAAGAAAGTTCTGAACAAAAAATGTATGGCGCCCTTTTTGATTGGTCCAGCGGATGCTGAGCTACACTCAAAAATATTTTGGAAAAATTTTCCAAAAATTAAATTTGAGAGATAATCGTTCGGGAATACCGCCAAAGTCTTTAGCAAAAAGTAGCGAACAGAAAATGTATGTCGCACTTTTTGATTGGTCCAGCGGATGCTGAGCTACACTAGAAAACAAATTTGGAAAAAATTTAGAAAAATTAAATTTGCAAGATAATCGCTCCGGAATACCACCAATAAAATAGGGAAAAAGTTTCGAACAAAAAATGTATGGCGCACTTTTTGATTGGTCCAGCGGATGCTGTGCTACACTCAAAAATAATTTGGAAAAATTTAAAAAAAATTAAATTCGCTAGATAATCTTTTGGAAATACGGCTATAGTGATTAGAAGAAAGTTCTGAACAAAAAATGTATGGCGCACTTTTTGATTGGTCCAGCGGATGCTGAGCTACGCCATGAAACAAATTTGGAAAATATTTAGAGAAATTAAATTTGCGAGATAATCGTTCGGGAATACCGCCAAAGTCTTTAGCAAAAAGTAGCGAACAAAAAATGTATAGAGCACTTTTTGATTGGTCCAGCGGATGCTGAGCTACGCCATAAATCAAATTTGGAAAATATTTAGAAAAATTAAATTTGCGAGATAATCGTTCGGGAATACCGCCAAAGTCGTTAGCAAAAAGTAGCGAACAGAAAATGTATGGCGCACTTTTTGATTGGTCCAGCGGATGCTGAGCTACACTCAAAAATAATTTGGAAAAATGTTCAAAAAATTAAATTTGCAGGATAATCGTTCGGGAATACCGCCAAAGTGATTAGGAGAAAGTTCTGAACAAAAAATGTATGGCGCACTTTTTGATTGGTCCAGCGGATGCTGATCTACACTCAAAAATATTTTGGAAAAATTTTCGAAAAATTAAATTTGCGAGATAATCGTTCGGGAATACCGCCAAAGTTTTTAGTAAAAAGTACCGAACAAAAAATGTATGGCGCACTTTTTGATTGGTCCAGCGGATGCTGATCTACATTTAAAAATATTTTGGAAAAATTTTCGAAAAATAAAATTCGCGAGATAATTGTTCGGGAATACCGCGAAAGTATTTACAAGAAAGTTCTGAACAAAAAATGTATGGCTTACTTTTTGATTGGTCCAGCGGATGCTGATCTACACTCAAAAATATTTTGGAAAAATTTTCGAAAAATAAAATTCGCGAGATAATTGTTCGGGAATACCGCGAAAGTATTTACAAGAAAGTTCTGAACAAAAAATGTATGGCTTACTTTTTGAATGGTCCAACGGATGCTGAGCTAGTTCAAAATGAAGTTTGTGTTTTTTCTCTTAACATAGGTTTGTTTCTTGTTTATCAAATGTTCCTGACTTTATAATTTTTTGGATAAATATGTGTTTTTAAAAATTTTTTAATTTTGTTTAAATTATGAAACAATAATTTTTTTAAGAATATAACCTTGTCGAGTTTAACATTTTTATCACTTATGAAAAAATATACTCTCTTAACTTTTTATTTTTGATTTGATTTTATTATATAAAAATCGAGTATTGGAATAGAATTTTCATTTTGTTTATTTTTAAAAATATAGAAATTACACTACCGAGAGCACGTTTAAACAGGTCAATACACGGATTGCAACTAATTGAATTTTAATTGGTATTTTCTGTTTACATTGTTTATGTCCTTCAGCAGAAGGGTTCATTTTATATTCCAATGAACAAGGGATGCAGGTATAAACTAATTTTAAAATTGTACTTTAAATAATTTATTCGTTCTATTTAAACTGTTTGGAAATTTTTAATTTAAAAAATATTATTTTACCGGTTTGAAGAACTTTTTTATTTTTATTTGATATTCAATTAATGTGGAAATTTAATGATATGTTTTTTAAAAATAAAAAAGTAAGAAACAATTTGCTAAAAAAATTCATTTATTTAAATACTTCGAGTGAAGCGCAATTATAGGATTTGTACAGAGCAAAACAATTTATACAAAATGAAATCTAAGTATCATCTATTATATATACCTATGCGCATATACATATAAATATGAGATTGTGGCATATAACATTTTAAATGCAATTTGAAAATAGGCATTTTGTTAATATTTCATACATTGTCAACAGAAGTAAGTCAACGCTAAATAAATAATTTTTTGCGCCTAATTTCTTTAATACAATATATAAAGACATTCTATACACGAAACGTTGTTACTTCTGTTAAAGTAGAAACATTTCAATAATTGTTTTAAAGAAATTTAGAAAAAATTAAATCTTTAACAAGTTTTTTTTACGGAATATGCAAATTGTTTTTATTTTAGGCTAATTAAGAAAAGATAAAAACTAGTTTTTCATATCAAGGAAAAAACTAAATTGCCCTTAAACATTGAAATTAGAAAAAAATATGTAATTTTACAGTTATAACGGTCTTGAAATGTTTAATTTAAATAAACCACGATCTAATTAATCAGTTCTCTCATGGTTTTTGTTTGTGATAAGACGATTTTAAAATGTTCAAACAAGAACGATTAATTACTCAGCCGTCTTAATTTTTAATTACATTAATTACGATACTGTACAAACAACAGCTAAACTTGTTCACAATGAAAAATCGTCTCATCCTTCACAATGGTCTAGGTTTTGATTATTAGAAATTTACCTTTCATTTTATTTACAAAATCTACTTAATCCTAAAACATTGTTTAAAGCGAATCTTTAATTTATTATTTACAGCAATACGCCTTATTTAATACTTCTATATTTTTTCATATTTTACAAAAGAAATTTTTTTAATAGTCCAGTCTCCTGAGGATAAAACAAATAATTTCTATAAATTTCCTGAAACGCTTATTCTATCACTTGGCAATTAGCGCGTCTCAATTTTAATCTAAACAAAAATCTACATATTCCTTCTAATTTACAAATTTTTCATGAAAGAGAATTTTATACTCTCTTTATTATGATGTGTATACTTGAGGTCTCTCATTCTCTCTCCCTCTAGCTAAAAACAATTTATCACATATTAATTTACTTAAAATTTACCTCTCTACAAAATGAGTCGTAAAGCAAAGCTGGCAGTATCAATCACGTGGTTCCATACTTGGTTTTAAGAACAAAAATTAATTGTTGAAATTTAAGTTTTTTTCATAGTATTTTCTACTTTTTTCGCAGTAGGTACAAAGTTATGAAAAATGTTTAACCCTATAGTTAGTTAATTTGGCATTATAATTTTTTTAGCCAGCTCTGCGCGAAGGATTCAGTCACTCGATTAAGAAAGCAAGAAATTAGATAACCTATTAGATTCTAAGCTCCGCATCAGTGACTGGAATCCCCCTGGGATGACCTTGACTATTTCTTTGCGTCGTGGGTGGCACTAGAGGACTGATGCTGGGACTCCTTGTCGCCAATGGTGACAAGGAGGGCGAGAAACTAGGACTCAACGCTGCCGAGGGAAATGTTGATGCATCGTGACTAATGGGCGATCTTGGTAAGATTCCTCTCGCTAAAGCAGGAGCTGCAAGTGATCGCGGAGCAACGGACGTAAGTAGAGGTGGCGGTGGGGCTTTATGTACAGATTTCGCTTTTCCACTATTGCTAGAATTGCCACTTTGAACACTCGCAGCGTCATCTTTCAGTCTTGCAATTTCACTAAAAACATGAGCAAGCGGTTGATACTGAGGACCCCAATCCAGCAGGTAGTCCCAGTTATAAGAGCCCGTTAGTTCCTCTTCGCTGTGAACTATTGAGCTTAACGATCCATTCATTGATGGTCCACTGCCCGGTACTTCCAGGCCCGAAGTTGGTCGACTTGGATCGCCAATTTTCCCATAGATTAAGGTAGCAATATCTGCTTCAGTGGCTGTTTCATCCTCAAAAAGATGTAAACTATCTAAAGGAAGTGCTTCTGGAGGTCTTCTTGGTGTTCCAGTTGGAGGGTCCACTATTCCCAATCTAGCCAGATATTCCTGAGTGTTATGAACTGATAAATCACTGGCAGAATCACCATGTGTTTGTCCTTCGTTAATCATTCGAATTTCCTCGTCTTCTCCATCGTCTTCGGCGGATCCCCGCCCAGAAGACCCTGACTGATCACTTCCCGAGAGTTCTGACGTTGCCTGTTGTTGACCTGATTGTCCAGACGTACCATAAGATGGAATTTCATCATATTTAGGAGGAGCGAACTGACAAGATGTTCTTTCTCCCCTAACTCCATCTGTGACCGAACAGGAATTACCCGAATTTCCAACTCCGGCGACACTTCTAATTGGAATTGTGTCAAAAGCACTAGGATCAACATAACTATTTGAAGCGGCTGCATTACTGTCTCCATTTAATCCAGGTTTCGTGCCAGGCTTTTTGTGTCGGCGATTTCTGATATGAAGATAAAGGAATATGGATCCAAAAGCAAGAACAAGCAATAACAAAGCGATCAAGAGTCCTAATGCCCAGTCGGCCAATCCATTAGATGTTGCTACAGCCATATTGGTACTAATATTCGAAGGAGTGCTTAGCGACGTTGCTCCACGCGATAGAATAAAATCGTCATTATCTACAACAGTGACTTCCACAACAGTCATGTTTGATAATGATCCCTGTCTACCAGAACTGGCACTGACGACCAATCTAGAAGATCCTTCAACTTCTATATTCGAATGTATCAGTTTCTGCTTAACAATTAGTGCTCCAGTTGTTCGATTCAATTTAAAGTAAGGATGTTGCGATGTCAGTTGATAAACAACACGTCCGTCAGGTCCCTTATCTCTGTCAGTTGCCGTCACATATCCAATAACAGTACCAGGCAAAATTTGCGCTCCGCTCCTAATTCCAAATCTATACATTCTCTCGGTAAATTGAGGATAAAATTCATCTCTAGAATCAATTTCAACACGAACGCGAACAGTTGCGATTCTACCTCCAGCATCAGTGGCTCTCAAAGCAAAAGCATAACGATTTCGTTGCTCATAATCAAAAACAGCTCTTGTTGTAACCGCTCCCGATTTTGCATCAACCGAAAAAAGTCTCCAACTATCATCAATGTCCGAAAATCCAGTGGCTGCTGCTGACATAATGGAATAATTTAAAGTTCCAAAAATTCCACGATCCAAGTCTGAGGCTCGCGCTGAAAATACAGTTGTACCAATTGGTTCATTTTCACCGACAAACTCAAGATACTCCGATACAGGAAATTTCGGAGAATTATCATTGACATCCTCAAGATGAATTCTAATACGAGCCAATGCGCAAAGTGGAGTAATTAAATCACTGTCACATGCCATCACAACAAGATTATGAAATTCCGAAGCCAAATCGCAATCCAATGTATTGTTTACTTGCAACGATCCTGAACTATTATCAATTCTGAAAAGACCTAAATCATTTCCAGAAGTAATATTATAGACAAGAGTTGCCGCGGGACTTCCAACAAGATCGTCATCTTTGGCTTTTAGAGTCGCAATTATCGTGCCAATAATTGTGTCCTCTCTTATTGAAACCTGATGGAGTTCTTCTAAAAATCTTGGATAATTATCATTGATGTCTTCAACTGTTATCACCACTGTAACTGGATCATCACCAACAAGTGATCCAGTTGTTGAATTCTCATCCTTTGGTCCCAATCGCAGAACATATCTTTCTTTTCTCTCTCGATCTAAATTTTTCGCCAACACCAATGTACCTCTTGATATTTCAAACATTCCATTTTCATCACCTGCAATTATATCACCGTCCAATAAATCAACTTCCGCTAATGTCATTAGAGCAGTGCCTCTTGATGCATTTTCCTTAATTGTCAACTTATAATCTCTACCAGGTAAGGCTCTCTTCAAACTTCCCAATCTCACAACCACTGAACAAACACCCATCAGAGTTGGTTTTCCAGAATCTTCAGCGACGACAATAAGTTCCACTTCCTTGGGCAGGGGTTTTGGTATCGCTGTTCTGTTCACAGTAATTCCACCACTTATCGGATGCACCGTGAATCCTTTCTTCAGATGCATGAGTCGGTAACGGATTCGTGAATTATCTTCAGTGAGATCGTCGTCTGTTGCATTCACAGCCAAAATCTCTTGCAACTCAGTGTGTTCTTCTGTAACAGAAAAAAAATCCATGAATTGTCATGAAAATTGAACTTAACAGATTAAAAATTATTTGAAAAAAAACAATATTCAACATTAAGTTGAAAGTATAAAATAAATGACCAAATATATAAATCGAAAGAGAAGTTTGAATGAGATACAAGAAATAAAAATGGCACCGATGCGTTTCAAATCGCAAGATAACTTGGCATTAATGTGCCAGAATGTTTCATCCAAGAGTTTGAAATAAACTTTTTTTTTCAGAAGAGATGTTGTATAATTGCGAGGTGCGTATGATCGTCTCTTGTGAATATACATTTAAGCATCTCGACATCTCGCCAAAATGAATTTTTATTACAAGTATCGTGCACATCATTCCAAACTCTCTTGTCCCTTTTTCTTTAATCCTCCTTTCTTCGAATCGTACTTTTTCATCGCTTTGAACTTTAAAATTTATTTTGAAATAATTTTTTTCTGATGAAGAAAGAAAGAAAGAAAGTGAAATATTTTGGGAATTTTTGAAACATAAAGAAAAGACTTTTTCGAGTCTGTCTGTCTGTCTCTCTCTCTCTCTCTCTCTCTCTCATCCAATTTCAATACTCTAGTGGATTGTTGCCCTTTTCCATGAAGAACAAAGTATTGGGAATCGTGATACTTATGTAAGCGAGGGAAGATGCAAATTCGCAAGCTCGTTGTCCTCGTCCCCTGGCCACCCGCGAATGCACCATTAGGCGCGCGGCTATGTATTTTTAATAAGTTTCGAGAGCCCTCGAAAGGAGCAGCGATCCACAAGGAGGCGGCTTTTGGCTGTCTGGCAAACGTTGTCCTCACATTTATTTATGTTCGAGGCGTTCGTACCCTCCCCCATCTCCCTTCCTTTCACTCTCAATTTCTCTTTTCCCTTTTTTCAATCTTCCTCATCCTCCCGATTCTTTTTCCTTTACTTCTCTTTCTCTCTCTCTTTCTCTCCATACTTAAATTTTTCTCCCTCTCGCGGTTTATCTTGGAGTGGTGTCAATTCGAGTTTGGAAGACGGCCAACAGGACAACATGTGTCTACTAAAAACCAGTTTTTAAATGCATGTTTATTTCGCGATTGCCTCCTGCCTCTCTCCTCAGTATATGTAGACCGTTTTGACATGGTCGAAATGTGAAACGTCTTATCATTGGGAAAATATTCTCTCTTGATTTTATCATTCTAGTATATGTACACTGTTGTGACTCGGGAGATTTAAATATTTTTAAATAAATAGAAATTTTTAATTTACAGAATGCAAATTATGATTATTATCGTTACAAAATATATAAATATTTTTTAGAAACTTACCGGAGAGTGTAGCGACGTAGGTCGCTTGCAAAAATTGAGGAGCGTTGTCATTAAGATCCGTCACTCGAACTGTCAAGACAGTTGTTGCTTCATGGATACTATCACTGGCAATAACTTGCAGAACATATTCGGAACGAGTTTCGGCATCAAGAAAATTTTTTAAGACAACGCGACCGCTGTATCGATCTATGCTGAAGGGTCCCGGATCTGAAGTGTTACCAAAACGATAAGTCAAAACTGGTGAACTGTCGACATCGTTGGCGGTGATCTCCGTAATCACTGATCCAATTGGAGTACCTGGAAAAAAAAATTTATACGAACATCAGTCTCCATCCGCTATCAAATTTCACGTCTCGCGTAAGAAATGAACTTCTGAATTATGACTAAGTTATCTTGACACTCTCTCTTACATTGTATATCCCTTCACTTCATGTTAAAGATCAGTTGAAATTTGAGTCAGTGTAAAAAAAATTAGTTTTTAACTAGAGAAGATCAATTATTTTTGTACTAGCGAAAAAGGGGGAAAATGGTGACAGCGGTGGGATTTTGTTTTGTTCTAATTTTGACATTATAAATCTGCAGTAGCATTAGTTTGAAAATCGAGAATACTATCAGATATTGATCTAGTAGTTGTACCTATGTAAAAAGAAAAAAAAGAATAAACATTCTCAGGGACATCATGGAGTTATGAAGTAAGCCATAGAAAGAATGAAGGGGACTGTATGTAGTGACGTAGCTTGCTCGTAAATTTAGTCAGACCGTTAACGTCGTGTAAATCGGTTTCGAGAGCGACCTCGTCCTTGTCCTTGTACCAGGTACATGTGCACGTTAAACTAAAATGAGACCCAGGAATTGCTCAGATCAAAATCAGGAAGTACTTGCGGAATGACACATGTCCAACAGGTAATATCCTGTTTCCAGTGTATTTGTTTTTTCCTACAATGCAATAAAAATCCTATATATACTCTATTCACGCTAAACAAGATTTCCCCATTAAAATTCATGACGATCCGATAACTTTTTCTTGGGAAAAATTTAATTTAAAAATTTCTACTAACTCATTTCCTTTTTCAAAATGACCTTTGAAGTTGATCGAAAGTCTACAAAATTCGTCAGTAAAGATAAATCAGCTTTCAAATTAAACATGGAACTAATTTCAAGAATGAATCTTCCTTTAATCAATTTCAGTTTAATGTTCCGAAAGTTTCATAACTGAAAAAAATTGCATTCTTGAGATTCACGACTCATTTTTTATAAGTCTTTGAACACAAAGTATATAAGCGCGTGCAATAAGAGAAGATGAGCTATCGAGTTTGTGAGTTTCGGGTCAAAAAGTTGAAGCTTGAACCGAACAACTGGATGCTAGCAGGTATTTTGCTTTATGTGGTCGCCCACGCAGAATAAGTATTGCACCAAAACTTAATGTCCTGTGACCCTAAGTGGAAGAAAGTGGTCCGAGAGAGACGAAATGCATCTGACTGAAAAAAAGAAGAGAAGGAAAGAAGAAGAAGAAGGAGTAGGGGGCGCTCTCCAAGTATAAAGTTAAGTGGTAAAGGATTTATGCCAGCATTAAAGTCCAACTGTTCGGAACAATCTGCATAACTTAGGTGAGTACTGGCTGCTGCGGTGCTTCTTCGTCTCACTCATTCTTCTTTTTGTTTTCTTACCACTGAGAGCCCCCCATATTGTTCATCATTGACAGATACGATTCAATGGAACTTTGAGAACAGTGGCTATGTTTTAACTGAATCTCGAAAAGCAATTTAAGATTTCTTTTTATTTTAAATACAAATTGTAACTGAAATAATAATAGGACTTCTGATGTAAATGTATATCAAACAAATCAGATGGTTGGTTTAATTAATTAATCTCAGTTCAATTGCGCACAAAAAGATTTCTGTTTCTCAATTTTCCCGGAGAAAGGTTGACCTTTCGAAGATAATATTTTTAATGTGCAGCTGCTGAACTATTTATCACGAGAACACAGGGGCACGATTTTTACGCGCACAGCAATAAATCAACTTTTGCCTTTCACATATTCCATGAGCAGACTGGAGTCTTATTCTCAATCTTATGGATCATTTTCATTTAATGTGAATCTTATTCTTAATACTAACCCTGACTAATTACATTTAATTGAACAAGCTAATAACATATTGAAAATAACTCAAAGGTAATTATATTTTCTAAAAAATATCATGAAAAAAATTACCTTCTGAGACGAAAATGACGCTTTGAGGTGTTGACGGAAATGTGGGTTGATTGTCATTGATATCAATAACTCGAACGCTGAGAGCAGTTGTACCAGTTAATTGAGGATTTCCTTGATCAGTGGCAATTATAGTTAATCGATATTGTTCCCGAATTTCACGATCTAGAACAATGTTGGTCCGCACTTCTCCGCTATTAGGTGGATTAATTGTAAAAGCATTGTCTGGATTTCCATCGACAATATGATACAAAATTCTACTATTTAAACCCTGATCGGCATCACTTACTGTAAGCTGCAATGAGAAAAAGATTAACTAATTAATAATCATTATATCCTTCTAATAAAATTACCATTTTGATTGTAGCAATTTTTTCTTCTTCTCAAGTTTTAAAAATAATATTTTACCTTCACTACAAAATCGCCTTTACTGTTGCCTTCAAGAACCGTTGCGGAATATTGATTTTGTGTGAAAATTGGTGGATTATCATTGACATCAGAAACTCTTACAATAAGTTTCGCGTAAGCTTCCAAAGGTTCTGGTCCTGTTGTTCTAGCGACCAATGTCAAAACATGTCTCGAACTTTCTCTAGGGGTTTCTTTTGTTGTTTGACTATCGAATGATCTACCCCAAGAATTAGTTGATCTTTCATTACTGATTTCAGAATTCGTTCCAATAACGCTAAGATCATTCCAAAGTTCGGCATCCAATCTCGCTGGATCATTGATACGCACCATTCCCGATTCTTCATCAATGTAAAAACTGCGAAAATCATTTCCCGTTCCTATTGAATAGGAAATTCGTTGTCTTCTTCCATCAGAACGTACGGCAGTGACTTGAAGAATTTCAGTTCCTTTAGGTGAATTTTCTTGCACAATAACTTCATAGGTGTCGTTTTGAAATTTAAGCATAGGCGTCAATTCAGCAAGATCACCAACACGAATTTTAATTAAACCCCTTGCACTGAGAGGAGGATTTCCCTTATCTCTGGCAATTACTTCCAAATGATAAGCTTTTCCATTTTCTTGTGCAAGTGATGAAGTTGCAGTAACAACTCCAGTACTAGGATGAATTCTAAATTTTGGTTTCTCATGCTCTCGAAGGAATGTGTAAACAATTTCACCATTTGCACCATGATCAGCGTCTGATGCTTTCACTCTAAGAATATTTTGTCCAGGTTGTGTATTTATTGGCACTCTTGCTTCAAATGGATATTCATCAAAAATAGGCGCATTATCATTAATGTCTGCAATATTTATTTCAACAGGGATCAATGTTCGTTTAGCGTCATTCTTTCCACCGTCGGTCGCAACCACTAGGAAATTATAGCTGCTCTGGCGCTCTCGATCCAGCGGTCTGTAAAATAAACAAAAATTAATGATACCACTTATTTTAAATTAATTACGAGGTATTTAATTACTCGCAACAGATGATAAATTGCTTTGCTGTTATTTCTAAATTTCAAAAATATAATGATCTGAATTTCCCAAATGATCTCGCAAGATATGATTATTCGAAAATTCTCGATTTAGTTTCATGATGTTATTGCTCGAATGAAGTGAGATTCTGGGAAGGCTGGTTAATATCTCGTGGGCAAGTAGCGGCAACAAGGATTCTAAAAGTAACGACAACACGAAGCCGACTTCTGTTTGCGAATCACGAAGATCCAAGGAGAGGAGAGGAGAGAAAGAAGAAGAAGTAAAGGAACGAAGGAGCCGTGGCTGGTTTTGCATATCAGGCTTTTTGCCGGCTAAAATAATGCATTGAAATGCCACATGGTGTCTCGCTGAAATGACACACGGCTGTCGCGCCGCAAAAGTTCCCCTCACCAGCGAATCCTCCACCTCCTCGTTCCTTCTTTACCGCCACCTCTTTTACTATCATCGACATCGTTCCTCTTCCCTAAGGCGGCATTATTTCTCTCGAGCGAAACGAAAACGAATCACATATACAGCGAAATGGAGATTAATAAACAAAGATTCACAAATTCCATCTCTTCATTTCTATCTGCTGAATGGACAACTGTTTCTGTTTTAATTCTCCTAAAGTGAAATTTTGACTTTTTTTTCATAAGAAGTAAAATTCCGGAAGCGGAAGAAAATGTAAATTTCTCGGTTAATATTCGCCGGCAGGAGGAGAAAAAGACAATTTCCTCTACGCGGAATCCCGTTCATACGGGTAATGCATAAGGAATTGTCTAATCGGCCCTGATGCATCGTACGGGTTGACTTTATAATTTTATGACGTTCCTACCACGCGCGCGTCCTTACTCCCCACTCTTGTTCGTTCATTTTATCGTCTTTCCTTTGCTTTTTACGATCTTCTATATATATGAACATTATATTCTCGTGATCCTAATCGGGTGGGCAATAAAGGTGGTGGTAATTAACGCCAAGATGAAATGAGCCAATGGGATAAGAAAAAGCAAAGAGGAACAGTCGTATGTACCGACGGAAATGAATGAATATCCAGTATGTTAGTCATTCATTAGAATGGAATGCGAGAAGTATAACGATAATCATCTTATAAAAAAAATGAATTTTATCCATAGTTTTTTCAGTTAAAAAATTTCTTGTTTAATTCAACTTACCCAGAGGTAGAGATGACGCCAGTCAAGTTATCAATCTTAAACAGCCACGTTGTCTCCTCAGCGATAGCGTAAGTAACCTTTCCATTATCTCCCTGATCAGGATCAAAAGCCTTAATTTGCATGACACTCGATTCAGGGGAAATATCTTCGGAAATTGTTGTAAAATATCTTCCTGGATGATATGCTGCAGATACAAATGATGAACCAAAATTTCCATATTCCTGATTTGTTTGTCGTGAACGTGAATCACTGTATTGATTTTGCAAAAAAGATGGCGCATTGTCATTAACATCTAGAACAATTACAGTTAAATTACAACGTCTCTCAAGACTTGGTCGACCTTTGTCTTTGGCAGATATTGTCAATATATATTTTGGAACGGTCTCCCTATCAAGACTGGACATTGAAAGAACACCTGTCGTTGAGTCGAGTCTAAATTTCGATCCAATGTTGCCTCCTAAAGAAAGTTTAACAGTAATTCAATTAGATTTCCATCAATTATCTAATTTGGAATTAAGAAAAACATTGCGATACTTACCAACAATACTATAGAAAATTTCACCATTTTTTCCCTCATCTATGTCAACGGCTGCAATGGTGTGAATAGCAGCAGTTTCTTGATTCTCGGGTACTTCCAATCTGTAGCAAGATCCTGATTTGAACTCAGGATTATTGTCATTCTCGTCTAGAACTTCGACCTCTAATGTTGTGAGATCAAGCAATTTAGTTGATCTTGCAAGTACTGGAACTGAATAATGGGAAATATCTTCTCGATCGAGAGGAGAGCGAAGAGTTACAACTCCACTTGACGAAATGATGAACTTATCAGAAGCCACACCTTTTGGTATGCTAAATGTAACGTTTCCTGAAAATAAAATAGTTTACATTATTGTTTAATTATTCTTTTCATTTCATTTAGGAAACATTAAATAAATCATCAAATGTAAAATCATAATTATAAATCTCATCAGATGTAACCAGGTCTCGTCGAGGAAGTCAGGAGGGATCAGACAATCAGTACCATTTTACAGTCCAAAAGGAAGAAAAAAGTTATGCCTTAACTAATTCTTTGAGTAAATAAATTTCATGTTACTGATCGAAATTACAACAATCTTTCTAGATCTGAAGTAATTGCTAGCTTGGACTTAAGATACAAACTCTAAAGTTTGTATATAATAGTCAATAAAATTGAAAAAAAGAATCATAAAAAAATGAATCTAGTCTGCAATAAATGTTTGTAAAGTGGAATGTACTGCAAATGGAAAAGGCTTAGAGCGTATAACTAACTGTGTATAATAGCGCCTACTGGTGCAAGGATGTAACGCTCGAAGGCAAACAAGAGAGGATAGCGCCTCTCTTGCTTGCTCATTCTCGTTCCACGGTTTTCTTGTCTTTTAATGCATATACGATTCTCAAATTCCACAAGACCGGCGTGTTTAGCCTGACGCTGCTTTTTTAGCGGGTTTAGAACAAAGCGTTACTCACACAAACTTGATTTCACATTGGTATATTGAATACTATTTCAATCGTGCGTTAGTATAGATCTGTGATGACGGTCCACAATGATACTTAAACATGTTCCAACGCTAGTATATGTAAGTATGGTGGTGAAGCGGTGATTTGCCTATGCGTACCGCGGCAGAACGGCGGCACGATGATATACGTGACCATTGTTTGTCTTCTCCACCTTTTCTTCCTCTTCCTCCAACCTCACCATCTTTTTCTTAGAGGCCTCTCATCCCAAAGATTCATCATCCGGTTAGAAATGCTACTTACATACTCCCGCGCCTTATTGTTCCCGACATAACAATTTTGCTACAGCTACTACTGTCTCTCAGTTACAAAATTCTTAATTACATCAGAAAAGATACCAATGGTCAAAACGTAAACGTTCATTGAAAACTTTCCCATCAGTTATAGAAAACGCTAAACTATACTGATCATCAAAGTCTAAAACTAAGACTAAGAAGAAAAAGAATTCACTAAAAGTAATAACAATTTACGAAGCAATTGAAATAGTCATTTGCACTTTGAACATCCGGTCAGGGAGAATTGAGGAAGTACAATGTACACATCTCATTTACTTTCTAGCGACTCACTCAATTTATTCCCATTTGTGACTTATATTAATGATATCTTCCAAGGTGGTCTTTTACGATAAACCGGAATGAAGATTTAGATTTGTGAATCTCTAAATAACTGGTATCGTACAATGTCATGACTTTCCGGTCCCGCATATGAGCATTACAAAAATTATTTTAAAAAATTGTCTTTTCATTGTTTTCTATATAAAATTATTCAACAAGTTCAGTTTAGATAACAGATACAGTTTCTATTTTAGGATAGCTCACTTTTCTTTTTCAAGTTTCCGCAGAGATTATCCGCAGAAAAAGAAAAAAACGTTGTTGCCATTTCTTGTAGAATTCTTTCAAGTCTAGTAAGAAGTAGGAGACAAGCGTGAGTCATTTGGCTCAATTTACTGTAATGCTCGCACGGCAGGATTCAAGGCAATTATTCGAGGTATTTTCATAGCAATTCTTTCCTATTAACCCATGCTGTGCCCACGTACACTCGTTTCAAATCTTTTGTAAAAGGCAAACTCGTTGATTCTTTTTTCCAACAATTCAAGATGCCATCATTACATTTACGAAGAGAGTGCAAACTTGGAAACAAAAAAGGAAGACGTCGAATTTTAAACTTTAGAATCTTGTTCTACAAGACTGTTTCAAGTGATTCCCCCCCCCCTCGTCCTTCCATTTTGTAAACGACTTTATAGACACTGGGTTACAAATATAAGAATCTGAATAATCTTCTTCATGATCAATAAATTTTGACGGTATAACTCAAGATTTCTGGTCGAGTTGCAAAATATATGGAAACGCGAGTCATTATCGGATTATGAGAATTGCTACCAGCCTCATTAGTAAAAACATAAGCTCAACAAATGACTTGAGTCGTCGCAAGAACATCTTATAATTTTACATTTGATTATTGTTTATGAATCATTAGATTAAACGGAAATGTAGTAGCGAGATTTTTGCATATAAAATCCGTTCATTTTAAACATTATTTACATCTTATGTGTGAAATTTTTAATCATACAATTTGTGTAGATTTTTAATTACAAGATTTCGAGATGAGATTGTCTGTTTTTTTAAATAAAAATATTCTATTCAATATTAGGACATAATTTTACCTTGATCAGCAATTGCAGAACCAGCGACATTCAAAACAGCAGAACCAATTGGCAACAGCTCGGAAACTCTTGCAATTGGATTTGATAGTAAAAGCCTTGGTGGTCCACTCGTCTGGCCAAAAGCAAGATTTAACGACAACTTCATTGTGGCTTTTCGAGGTGGAGAACCATGATCATTGGCAGTGATTTCAAGCTCAAGAGGTCGTATCATTGGTTTCAATAAAGTCACCAAACCCGAATCATAACCTACAGAAAATCGTCCTTCTTCATTACCCGAAGTGATTACATATGATACTCGACCATTGTCATCAACATCTTTGTCAACTGCGACAACGCGAGTAAGAACGGCGCCTAGAAAAAAATATTAAAAATTGATTAGAGATTGCTATAGAAATAATTTATCATCTACAAAGATTAAACTTACCAGGCAGAAGATCAGGAGTGACGGCAATTCTTGTCGTTTCCGGTGCAACAAAAACGGGATCGTTGTCATTTTGATCAAGAACGATAATTCTGGCAGTGACAGTTGAAGAAAGTTGTTCACCAGGTGGTGCTCGATCAACAGCTTCAATAATTAATGTATATTCAGCTCTTTCTTCACGATCCAAAGGTTTAGCGAGAGTTAGTGCTCCGGTCAATGAGTCCACGGCAAAACTTCCACTTGGAGGAAATTCAGCAACAAGACCATACCTTAAATCACCATTGGGACTGCTGTCCAAATCAGTGGCAGTAAGATTATAAATCGTCAAGCCAATCATTGTACGTTCTGAGACTCTCACTATGATTGGATCCTGTGGCCAACGTGGTGAATTATCATTGGCATCTTCAATAATAATCTTCACCGAAACCGCAATACTCTGCGGATTACCAATTGAAGTCGTATCCAATGCACGAATTTCCAAATGATATTCACTTGTATTTTCCCTATCAAGAGAATGAGCTACGACTAATTGACCGGAACTACGATCAACGTCAAATGCCGGATAATCAGTGATTGGAGTTAAAGAATTAAGATTGTATGCCACTCGACCCGCTGGTCCTGCTCCTGAAACGGAGCCAACAGCACTACCAATAGTTGCGTCCTCCTTTACCTGAAATTATGTTTTTCAAACTAGATCTTTACAACATCCTGTAATTATTGGTTTATTATAGAGTTGTTTATTCCTAAACTACAAAGTAGACCCTAACGACCCAACTTCCCTTTACAACTCATACTCTTTGGGTGTCCAGATGAAATCGTTTTATAACACCAAGAACCTTGTATTTTTGCATCGTCCCCTATTATCTTAATTTCGAGTAATTTACATTTCTCATACCATATCAGGTTTACGAGTCCTCGAGGGGATTAATTAGGCTAAAAATAATTCATTTTTCTCACCCCTTTCCCTAAACAACTTTATTCGAATTCGTGTCTCCAGTCTTAATTGGATCCGTTCTTTTACTTTTTTAATTACAAATAAGTTCATTACTTTAACAACTCAACTCATTTCTTTTTTCTTCAATGGAAAGTTTACGAAACATTTAGTGTCATCGTTTATTTGGTAAATCAATTAATTAAGCAGTTAATTTATTGTGTGCAATTAAATTTTGCCATTTTACTCACGTTAAAGGTGAGACTGCTGCTCGTAAATGTCGGTCGATTATCCGCCAAGGCTAGAACTTCAACTCGAAGAGCACGAACACTGTGACGAGGTGGACGCCCAGCGTCGCTTGCTCTCACTGACAATCGATAGACATTACGTTCCTCATGATCGAGAACTACTTTCGTTCTGATCATTCCAGTGATAGGATCAATGGTGAAGACATTGTAACCATCAGAGTCGCGATCTGCAAATTATTTAAAACAAAATTCTAATTTTAGCTTTCGACAAAAGAAGATGATTACAAATGCGATAAAGTAAACTTAGTATTGATAAAGAAAAAAAAACATAAATAGTACCTTTAAGAATAGTATAAGTGACTGAGGCATTTTCTCCAAGATCGGAATCCAGTGCTCGAATCCTTGCTACCTCAGTTCCGGATGGTTGCTCTTCTCGTACGCTCACAACATCACCTTGAGGATCAACAATCTCTGGAGAATTGTCGTTCACATCGAGAACAGTGACTTTTAAAGGTACTCGTGCTGCTCTCGATGGAGTACCCTGATCACGTGCTTCCAAAACCAATTCGTGAATTCCTTTCGATTCCCGATCCAGTGGCTCACGAGTTGTTACTTCACCTATTGATGTAAACATTTTTTTTTGTTTTCAAAAAGCTTATCAAAGAAATGAATCCTAGCTTTAAAAAGATTCAAAGAAGGCAATCTTTGTTTCAAAAGATTCCGGAGAGAAAAAAAAATGTTAGGAATTTTGCGGCACTAGGTTCCTTATGATGTGACTAGTCATCTAATTCTTCTTATTCTAATGAAACTGCACCTCGTTACATGGATATTGTAATCATGTCTCAAGTGTTATGTGAACACGGCCGTGAAACGAGCCTCTTGTAATTACGAGATCGATAGGAGAAAGAAAGCACAGCGTGTCTCCTTTCTTTTGCACCGGTGCAAAGCAGTTATCTCATTAACAGATAATTAACGTTTCCAGAGAGAGAAAAAAATGAAAGAAAAATTTTTCATCTCTTCAATGATTACAAAGATCTTTCAAATACCGTTAAATATATCCTTTCGAACAAAGTTGCGTGTCACTTGTATTTTTGTTTTATCCTAGTTTTTACTTTTCATCCACTTAACTATTTTCCCATTGCTGATGCAATTACAGAGGTATTCCAAGAATAAAAAAAACACTTCTACTGAGCTATTCTAATTTAATTTTCAATACTTTCCATAAAAGTAGAGAATATTGTAAAATAAACGAAATAGCATTAGCAAGTGAAGCTAATGCATTTCTCATGTAACTCAACTCTAATATTTGAAAATCTTTATCTTTGAAGAATGAAGTATCAATATAAAAATTATTATCATTATTATTATAAAAGAAGCTTTCATTTCAATTGCTCACTTTGAAACACAACTTGAAATAATCACAACAAAAGAAATATGAGGTTTTCAAGAGCACAACTTTTGTGCTGCATGTCAATCATTGGTATCCTATATATGTAAAGAATATATTTAAGAGTATTGCAACTCTCACAAGACCCTCTTTAAAGATGTTCGTGTTTGACGTTTCTTTCAAGCCAATAATTCGCCTCGACACGTAAACGAAAAAGGAAATGACACTCTATCATTTCTTATCTTGAGAATAATGCTAACCAAGTGGAAAAACTACCGTTTTAACTCAACTAAAGTGTTTGTTTTACTGTAAAATGGGAATTTTATCAGTCCTTACAAATCGGTACTTACATTTTTAAAAAAAGATTTTATTAAACTTACCAGTATCGGGATCAATGGAGAAACTGCTGTTTGCTTGGACCACTGCATATCTCAAAAGAGCATTTTTACCAAGATCAGGATCCGAAGCAGTCACCGAACCTACTAATGTACCAGATGGTAAATTCTCCAATAGTTCAAAACTATAAAATTCCTTTTCAAATTTTGGTTCATTATCATTGTCATCTAAAATTGTAATTAAAACCGATGCACTTGCAGTTGCTGCTGGTGAACCGTTGTCAATTGCAAGAACAGTGAGAGCATAACGATCTGTTGTTTCACGATCAAGATTTTGAGCTAGAAAAATCCATCCCATATTTGAACTAATACGAAATGCCGTTGAACCCTGAAGACGATAACTCAATCTTGCATTGTTTCCCGTGTCAAGATCAACTGCAGTCACTTGCAAAATCTAAAGCAAGAAGGAAGGAGACATTTTATTTTTGACTTTTTTTCATCATTTCATAATTTTCAATTATAAATTAATAATATATCTGATAGAATTGATATTTATCAATTATTAAATATTCCCGCTGTTTGAATCCTTGATAATTTAAAAAACTGCTTTACCGACATTTGATGTACAAACATAATCGCTTTTTCAACATTAGAAAATTAGAATTTTACATCCAAGGGAATCGTCTCCATATTAATGAATTTTAACTCTATTTATGTGAAATAATGATTCTCTACCCTTATACAATTATGCAATTTGATTATTTTTATAATTAATGGAAAATTTCATTATGTTAACTGAAAAAAAAGCACGAGAGGAGAAGACAAAGGGATGAAAGTACGTGATCTCGGTATTGTCCTCATTGAGTTCATTCGCAGGAGTCAAGGATGATTGATGGAGATTGAAGAAGAGAAGGTGGAAGGAGGTGAGAAATCCAGAGGCCGACAATGAGAGGCAATGTGACGTGGAAGATGGCAATCATGTGCTTAACTGTACACCATTACGGGTGAAGGGTTACGTTTATAATTTAAGTTTCTTTTTTGCTTATTCTTTTTTGCAATCGGAAATTGAATCGGTAATTTTATGGAGTAAGTTCGTTTTTTCGGATTTATTGATCAGGAGTAATTGGTTTTTTTTTCTTCTACATGACATGACAAGGCGGAAAACGAAAATCCCCTTGGTAGTGAAATTCTTGGTTTCCTTTCGAGATCTAGAATATGATCTGATTCAATAGCAGCTTATAGAAAGTCTCTCTATTTTTATACTTACTTCCGAGTCTAATCCCATCATACCCAATAAAACAACCTTTACGTGATGTGAGCCGTGACTCTGATAAACAAATGTTTTTCTGTGACGGGCGTGTAATGAAGATTTTTCTCACCTGGGAATCGAGTCTGGCGCCTTCGGGAACTTCTACGTGATACTCGTTCCTCTCGAACACTGGGGGGTTGTCATTCACGTCCTGTACCTCAACGCTGAGACTCAAGTTCGCCGAGAGACCTGCGCCATCCAGAGCACTTATCAAGAGGCTGTGCCTCTGCTGAGTCTCGTAATCCAATCTACGTGCAAGATACAATTCACCGAGTCGAGCATCGATTCCAAAGAGATCGTTGCTGTTTTGCGCCAAGATGTAACGAATTGGCGACGATGGTGTCAAATCTGGATCCCATGCATGCGCTACGTACAACGGCGTATGTAATGGATGAGATTCCGGAACGGATATTCGTACCGAGTTTGTTGGAAACGATGGTGGATTATCGTTCACGTCCTCTACTGTCAGCTCAATCTGGAAAATTATCATTTAAATGGATTTATTAATTAAAATTAAGTTCTTCAGAAAAATCTGTTGGAAGTTGTATTGTGAATTTTCATCTCAAATGACAATTTCTGAATGTGGAGAAAATAATTTTCTTTTGGCTATCACAGATTCTATTGAATGTCTTGTGAATTTATACACATCAAAGAGAATACCGACTACTGTCTCTTCGACTAAAAAATATTCTCATGAGATAATGACCAACTATTAGTCAATAATTTTTAATTAAACTTTTTTCTATTTTGCATTTACTTTATGACCAAGTTCCCATCAAGAATTCTGTTTATTTAACAGGTTTTTGAATTTAATGAGCCTCTATGACTCCTAATGTTAATAAATTATCAGAATCAATAAGGGAAAAAAATATTTTCATAAATAGGTTTCTTACGACTTAATGTTGTATAGAAAATCAAAGAAGTAAAAGAAAATTTAGGTGGCGGTTGCAAAACTAGAAGGACGGACATTTATTCGTACCTATATAAGGATGTAAAATATATTCATGGTGCGATAATCGTTAGTTGTTATTGTCAAGTATTAACTCACCTGACAGTATCCAACCGAGAGTCCATCTCGTGCTTCAATACTCAGGATATATTTATCTCGAGACTCTCTATCCAGAAGTTGTCTTGTCCTCACGATTCCCGAGTTTGGATCAATGGTGAAATCCATTTCCTCTGTGACTAGATAAAATCTTATCGATCTTTCACTTCCTGCAAAATAAGAAAAGAAAAATTCACAATTTAATAAATTTTCAAACCATTAATCTTCAGAAAGAAATTTTATTTTTATATATGAGATTTAGTAAGACTAATGAATCCATTTTCATTGACATGAGTCTCACGAGGAATTCTTAGGCAGTGAAAAAAAAAGAAAACATTCAAAACCAGAATCGCGTTAATTCGACTAATTAGATGCGAAGAGACTAATTTGTAAGTTCTCCTTCAGGATCGGAATATTCTCGACTTGATTTACAACTTCAAGGTTTCATAATCTATATTTAGGAGAAACCTGAATTTCTGCAATCCCAATTCAATTTACATGCGATTTCAATTCAGAAATATGGATTCAAATATTTAAAATCAAAATTAAATTAACGATTTGGATATATATATATATATATATATTTTTTTTTTTTTGATTTAGAGAAATGCTCTTGATTCGAGGGGTTGTCAGTGTTCATCGAGTGACATCGGCAGAGTTAAAGATGGTACTGGATACGTGGATAGCATAATTTATAAACCTCTATTTCTACACCCATGCATACCGACCAGCAGTAAGTTTATATGCCATTCTAAGTGTATAAATGCGGCTTCGTACAAGAGTACACGGGTACGAGTTCAGGCACCTCACGTACTTTAACTCACGTATATATGATATGTATATCGCTACCACTAACGTTGAATCTAGACATGAAGGTTTGCTATATCAGATTTTATCCTCCTCGTATAGAAAATTATTTTTCCATGCAGAAAAAAATAAACTTTGCTAAAATTTCCTTCGACTTGAAATTATTCCAAAGTGACAAAATTTTTCATAATTTCCTAACTTGTTTTTGAAAAAAAAGAACTGGAATTAATCCCCTGTAAGATATAAAATAAATACAGAGATTTGATTTCTTGCAAAAAAAAGAAGAAGAGTGTTTAGAATTTTATGGATGTAAATTTCAATGGATTCCATTTATATCAAACGGTCGGTTGCTCCTTCATAAGCACTCTGGTCACAACTCATTACTCGAGGAATTACCAGTCTCGCGAGAAAGGGTCGCTGAGTATTTATCGAGCAAATAAATTACAATCGCGATGCATTACAGAGACAACTCGTGAGGAACAGATCATAAAGCTTGTGAGAATATTCTTTCTTTTTTTTATGGGGTCAGAATTCATTTTCAGGAAAATTAATTTTGTGCTTTTATATAATGATAATAATAGAGAAATTAATCATTCACAGAAGAGAATTTCTTTTTTTCTAGCGCATGCGCTAAAATGGCGGCTGATTTTTGATCAGCTGATACCAATTGAAAAATTTGTAGTCACTTGAGAAGATAAAGAAACAATTTTTCAATCAATTTTTCTTTGAAGAGACTATTTTAAATAAGAATTTAAAGGTTAGAAATTTCTTCTGGTTGCTGATGACATGCGTGTCGTGTATATACACGTGCGAAAGAGCCGCGACTCGTCATTCAGCAGGATCCCGCTGTGGGTTACCTGGTGGGTGTAACGAAGACAAATCGCTTGCAAATTCGATTAATTCGAAAAATTGTCCTCGTACTCTTTTCTTGTTTTGCACGGTTTCTACCTCGTTCTCCTCTTCTCTTTTCTATATACGTTTCGTCCGCGCTCCTCCGGAGAATTCGTTTCAGGGTCCTCTTACAAATATATATATATATATATATAGTGACCAGACGAACGTTTTGCAGCAGCACCCGTGAGGCGAATTAAGAGCAACTTTTTACTGGATGGGAATCCGAGAAAGAGAGCAACAGAAAGTGAGTGAGCCAATGAGATATAGTGAGAATTAGTAATGAGCACCCTTTCGTCCTTGTACACCTTAACCAAGCAAAATACGCTATACGTTTCCTTTCGCGACGAACGTATAGAAGACTCTTGTGGTTGCTTCGATTCCCCTTCTAGACTAAAAACCAATCTCTGTTTTGCAGGAAGCGGCTTCAGCGAAGAGAGAATAATCGATTCAAATGCTGCTGCTGCTTCTGCTCTTCGATAGAGATACTCGACGCAAGTAGGAATTCCGATCAAGAAATACTTTTTGAAAAACCATTCGATTTATCGGAATTTAATTCCTTTGCGCGAGTTCTTAAAACTCGTTTCCCTCATTATGTATAAGTAATAATTATTACTAGAAAAAAAGTTATGAATTTTTATTTTAAAATTCAATCAATTGAATTAGATTAGTCGATTATCATTATAATAGTGGTATTCAGCTATTTCTAAGTTTAGAACAAACTTCTTTGTAGATATTTTGATTTTCTCTAAGTTTCTTTTTTTTATTGTGAAACAATTCTGCAAGTTCCTGGCATTGGAAATATTGAGATCTTTTTGCCTTCCTCTTTCGATTTGAAACGCTCGTTCTAACTTCATCCTCTTCTCCTATATATATATATCGTCAGTTCTTTCTATCTCGCTGTATAACTGTCTTTCTCTATCACACAGGTGGAATTCATTTCTAGTTCCTTGACTCCCGTGCGTGGTCTTCTTCCCTCTTGACTTTACCTCCCTACCCGATCCCTTCATGGGCACGACTCACTTGCGCTCCCACCGTTCAGACTACATTCGCAGCATCCCGATCCCTGATGTCTTTCTTCTTTTTTTGTTACCTCCTCCCTTCCTTATCGTTTTTCCTACAAGCACCACCCGCCAGTGTATTATCATGATAAAAATTATAATTTAAAAAAAACCTCGATGACAAACTAAATTCAATTTTTCATCGATATAGCAAAATCAATATATTTAGCTCTATATAAATAAGAAAAAATCGACTTCAGTATGAGTTCATTAAGTGCACTTACTGCAAATCTCCCTCTCTCTTTCCCGTGAGAAGTTTTGTTATCTCATTTGCTATTTATATATACCTTGACTTCTAATCAGTTGTGCAATTCGTCTCTAAGTGTCTATCCAACTTCACATAATCAAAAACTACTTTTCTGATATTTATTTTAGCAAACAGAATCACAAACCAAGAGTTTGTCTCTCATCAATATATAGCTACTGGTATTTGATGAGAAAAGTGGAGATGCTGGTTTCTAAACTGGTTCTTCTCTTCCAATACTATCCACACAGCAATTTAATTGAAACTTTAAGTCTGGATATGCAGAGATATTAGCAACGAATGAAAACTATCAATGTTTCGAATCGAATTGCTATAAGAAAAGAAAATATATATATTTCTCTTTTTTTCTTATAAAGAAAATTTTATTTTTCATTCTATAAAACTTGAGATAAAATAAACGCCATTAGAATATTGAGAACTAATAGAAAAACAGGTCGATATGTAATTATTTATACTGATCTGAATCTTGAAGTGCATGCAAATCTCTATATCGATTTCAAGAATTTTTTTTTAGAAATAAAAAAAGAGCATCTCACACCAATGTGGAAAAACAACGAACACGATTGTAGGGAGTTAATTTTACCATTCAAGATAGTTTTTCTTATTTTACTAATTAACTCGTAACGGACCAAACGGGTAAGGTTACATTGGGGCGGCAATATGCGATTACGATATCTGTTCGATAGTAACATATATAAATATTAAGTACGCACCCACATTGTTGTGGAAAATACAAATCTAATACTTCTAATGTTCCCTTATCCTTGACAGTTAGTGAAAACATTTTTTCTCCAGTTTGTAAAAATTAGTAACGGTATTTTTCTTGCAAAAAAGTCAAGGAATTATAGTCAATTATACTTCTTCTCCTAGCTGCAAAAATCTAATTACACGCAAAAAATAATAAATTTACCCTGAAGCTAATAACAACTCAGTAAAATATATGGATTTTTACAGTATAAATATGTAGTTTCTACAACCTAAAATGTAGTAGTCTAAATCTGTAATTTCTATCTGAATGGAGCAGGAACACTTTTTTCCCTAGTAGATTCCTATTTTTTTTACTGATTTTTCTTCAATTTTTTTCTGAAATTGATTTCAAAATACAATATGTATTCTACTAAAACAATTTTAACGATGCCAAATGATAATTGAAAGTGTATTCGTTGATATTTCGCTCTTTAATGATATTCAATTAAGAATTCGGCAGTTTTAATTAAAGAATTACGAATTAATTCGAATACGTAAATCGAAGATCGGGTTTTCGTATATATATATATATATATATATATATATATATATATGTAAGCGAGTAGTGCGGTTGAACGAGAAAGGCGACACACTATATATACCATTGGAATAAAAACAATCTCGTAATTAAATAATGATGATTAGCCGCAGGTCGAACGACGCGACGAATGCGATGAAGAAGCGATACCGCGGGAAAGGCACGCTGTCGTTGACGGGGGTCTTTGCTTGTTCCTCTACCTTCATTCTCTTTCTGCTATTTCCATCTTTCTTCCCTTTTTCCTTATTCCACTTGTATTCTACCCTCTTTTTTTTCCTTATTCTATTTCTTCGATTCTCTTTTTCTATTTCTTCATATTTTTTCTTATATTTATCTTTTATTTTCTACCTTTATTTCTATTTCTCTCGTTTGGATCTTCAATCACTCTGTTTAATGCTATATTGACGTGTCGTGACATATCCTTTGCTTTCAGGACATTAACAGTCGATTTAATGCAGATAATGTCTTCGCAATTCTAGAACGACAGATTGTTTCTTTTTTTTTACTCTGATCCCTTTTCTTCAGTCTAAATCTGTAAATTTCGTATAGTAATAATCTCAAGAAAGTTGTCACATACAACTGGGACATCTACAGGACAAATGTCGGTATTCAACCAATACAGGTTTATAGAATCCGTTAGTAGTCAGTAGATGGCGTTAGTAGGTTTTTCTTTACTTTTCTTCAAAGAGGATTCGTTAAATAAATATTAGATCAGCTAGATATACAGAATTGACAGTTTTCTTCAAAATAAAAATTTCCATTCAAATAGCATAAAAGTTGACAATTTTCTTTCTTTTTTTTCCTATTATTTAAAGGATAGGATTCCAAAAGATCTAAAAAGTGATGTAGAGTAGTTTATTATATTCGCTATGAATGTCATTTCGAGACTTTTGCCAACTAACGATCCTCCCAGTTAAATCGGAGTACATGTCTCTTGGTGAACATGACATATGAATACAAGGAAATGTATATATCTTTCTGTTCAGAAGCTGCACGCATTCTGTTGCCTATAATGTGGATAAGAATGGGGTGTGTAATAGAATTGACTAAAAAACATTTATATTTCTCCATATTTTTCCATTCTCACCATATAAGAAGTTTTTTTTCATATTAATTCTTTTTGTAGAAAATTTATTTTTTGATTTATATATTTATAAAAAAAAATTAATATATACTGAAGGTTGTATATGGTATTGTAGTCTTGCGGTATTTACACATCGTGTATACTGTGCGAAGAATCCAGACCTTTAGGTTTGTGTCTATGGAGAGAAGCTCTTGCTTCTTCGCAACTTGAAGCATAATTTTTTAAAATTATTTTTTCACCGAGATCCGGCCTTATTGTCGCCGGCCATTGTCTTGTCGTTTTCTACCTTGGCGTTTTATACCACCATCACCACCACATGGAACTTTAGTCGGCGCGTCGTCTGTCGACCATTTAGCGTGGGTACAAAACTTATTCGGTCTTTCCTCTTTGTTGCAAAAGTAACAAGCGAACAAAAAAAAATTAACAATACCCATATGTGACGTTCCATGAGGAAAGGGACCTTAGCTGCAATAGACGCATTTTCCAGAAAAGATATTTAAAGTAGAGCGTCCCTGATTGGTTGAGACCCTCCATCGAAAATCAGCCCCACCACCTTACTACTACATCGTTCCTACAGCTCACGCTTACGACAAGTATACTAGTGTAGAAGTGGTGGGGATGGTTTCTGTAGTCCGTGCTGGAACGCGATTAACATGGTCATGATTAATGCTTTATAACAAAAAAACTAAATAGAAAAGTACAATTTTTAACTTTTGTATCTGAAAGAGCAACTCAAGATCTATCGACTGATATCAAAAACTCAATTTTCATTTTTTTGCAGCTAAGGTCCCTTTCCTCATGGAACGTCACATATATGAAAAAAAGGACATTTTTTTAAATCAATAATTAAAAATCTATTTTATTAAAAAAAATTCGTATTTTTAAAAAAATATTATTTATCGGATAAAATCAATTATTAAAAATTTACATATTAGAGGCATTTTAAAGGTGAGATATTTAAGTTTGTATACTGTATTTAGAAAACTTAAATTATAGCTCGCTTCTGGTGTCGTTTTACAATATTTATGGTCGCAAACATTGACAACGGATCTAAATTGTCGATAAAGCGTTTCTATTAGTTTACATTAAACACTCAAAAAGTCAAAGTTCCCACAGATTACAAAGGTAGATTAAGCTTATATGAATTCTAAACTCAGTTTGAAATAAACATTTTTGATTGCAATGAGTATTTTATGCAATGAAAGGTCATCAAATGTTCGTATCTTGATTACACCGAATAGAGAAAACTAGTCTTGAGTTTCTCTGTTCGATAAAGAAATTCGATAAAGACTTATATATTTATTTCTCCAAAGAACACGACTGTTTCAATAATAAATAGATTTCTTCTTTTTTACATTCAAAATGAAAATCGATGCGCATTCTTTTTTTTTGGTTTTGACACGTTTAAGGAAAATCTTGGAGTCATTTCTCGAAGATTCTTCTCAAAGGAATCGAACACAGAAGGAGTGAAAGAGATAGAACGAGAGAAGAAACGATGAGGACCGTCGTTGTCGAGGTCACATAAATCGTATAGTGAGTCGGATTCCGGGCAGCCGAACGCAAGCCGCCATTGTCCAGATTTTTTTTTTGTTTCTCTTTCACTTCATCCCATTTCCCTCTCGTCGTTCCTCACCATCCACCCTCTCTGCTGTACTCTTTGCATACGCTTTAAATATCGCCGCTTTGCTTGACTTTGAGACAAACAGCACACACATATAAATATATATATATACATATATAAAAGGTGAGGAAGGTATAAGGATCAGAGGAAAAGAAGACGAAAAGGTGGAGTAACTTATATAGAAGATGAGAGAAATCGGAGGGACAAGAATGTTGAAGCGGTACAAGTATGAATAAAAGAGAAAAGAAAGACACGCGAGAACCAAAAATCAGTTGGCAATTCTTCGCGAAATCCCTCGCGTTCCTCTTGAATTTTATCCCAGGGCGTTGATGTTGTTGAGGAAAAAAAAACAAACCTCAAGATATCTTACCGATCTTTTTAAAACATGAGAAACACCCTTCTGCCAATTTAATTGGTAATTTATTATTTTTAAATTCAGAATTGAAGAATTATTGAAAAGAATCATATTATTTTAATTTCATGTTTTCAAATTTAGTGGACTTGGAAGTAGTTTCACTATTATTTACGTTTGATAATCATCATTTTATTCATTTGTGTAAAATTATATATTTAACAATACTTTCCCCTTTTTCTTATTTTCAAATTGAATCTTGATACATTTTAGCTCAGTTTCATTTTTGATCCGTAAGTAGCGTACGCTAAATTAAGGTTTTTTTCCGGTGTATATATAGAGAGAGAGGGAGATTATATTTTACCCGCGAACTGAAAAATTCTTCTCATATCTTTCTTGACGATCTTCATCTTCTTTCATTCTCTAGCTATTCACTTTATAGTCGTGCTTTCACTGGACTTTCAAATTTCGTGTGGCACACGGATTTGTCTCTGCATCTCAACTGAAGGTATATAAGCTTAAACCACGCTTAAAAGATTCATGCGATACTGCAACCTTCCCTGCCTTTTGCATTCTGATTTGCGTAACTCCATTCTCAGAAATATTTTTTCTCTCTCTCTTTCTCGTATATACTTTTTATCTCATCTTCTTTTTTTCGCGAAAATTCACTTAATCACTTTGGAATATCAGGAAATATTTCTGAAATCTTCGGTGACAGTTCATAAAATGAAGAAGATATCTGATTATTTACCCAATGAAATCGATTTCTGATTTGGCTTCTTCTTCTTCTTCTTTTTGTTTTGTCAGTAATCGTGGAAATACGCAAAGAAACAAAACATTAATCTCTTTACAAATTTATGTGTCGTTGATGTTGAGACAAAAGAGAATGATCGTAAACAGGTGGTTTAAGAAATAAAGGGAATATTGAAGTCAGTATCAGGATGGTACTGTTGTATTGTAAAGGAAAGAAGATGAAGAAAAGAAAAGACGATGAGAGAAGGGTTCCAAAGGAAAGAGGGGGGAATGGGAGGTATACGTATCCGTGTTTCCACACTGGAGGTACATCCGATGCAAGATAGGCCGCGTCACGACCTGCGCGCTCAATGCGCTATAACTGATGCACCCAGTAAAGTACGTTCAAATGTATATCCACCAACCATGAACAACGTTATAGATTCCACTATTGACGGTACTTTAAGCCGTTGGTGCCATACTGGTGGTCGTATTGTTTGCTGTTGGCCCGCATATGCAAATTCGTCGCATATCAATGTACGTTTCTTACTTATACACGCGATTTCACCAGAGCAAGGCGACGACACTTCTCTCTTCTCCCTTTTAAAGTCAGCTCGTGACTTTATATTCTTCGCCTTTATTCTCTCTTGCTCTCTTAAGCAATTTGCTTCTTTCTATCGTGCTCAACTTCTTTAACAAATGAAAAGAGTTTTATTCTAATTGGATTATGAAATTAGCTCAATCTACATTAACAATTGACTTGCACGCAGGAAAAAAATTTCTTAAGAAATTCACAGAAACGCCATCTATTGACGGAGGTAATAGATTCTATAAACTGCTCAATTGGTTCAGTACCGACATTGATGTCCTAAAAGGGAGAAATTTTCCCGGCGTGTGACAAGAGTGAATTTTTTTATCCCAAGCTCAAAAGGTATAATATAGACGCGATAGAATTAAATATACACAAATGTTTTTTTGATCGATAAAATGTATTCTTGGCATCGTTTATATATACTCGTTCGTGACACGACTATGCTAAAACAAAAGCGTCGCGTGGAATAATTTTCCAACAAGTTTGGTATACTTGAAAATGTAAATAGAGATGTGAAAATAAATCCCTGTAAAATATTTCTGAAACTCTCTATTTCTAATCCTCTGCGTTTGTAATTTGAAATTGTAATCCTCAAAAAAAAAAATTGTTAAACATGTGGAAAAAATTAAAATTTATAAATCCATTGACAATTTTTCCGTTAAGTATTCTAATTTTGCAGATTTAGATTTGAATTTTTGTCTTTCATATCCAATATATAATCGTCCAATATCTTTTAATATTTTATTCCTTTAGGTTTATAACTGTACATAAACACTAGTCCCTTAACGTTAACCTAAAGCAAAAAAAAAAAAGAAGATTCGCCTCCTACGTGTCTGATTCCCTCTATCCCTCGCCTACGTGTAATCATCGAGTCATCGATCCTGCATTTGTTCTTCACTGGTGGTCAAATTACCTCTTCCCAATAAATAGGAAGTGAATAAATCTTTATTTCTACAAGACATTTGGAGAATTTAAAAAAAAATTCATTTTCATTTTTTTTATCTGCGATTTTTTGATATAGCAATCAAGTTTTTAGAAATCTATTAATCACTCCCAAGTTCTCTATTTTACTCTATTCCCATTCAGGACATTAACGTCAATGATGTATAACGATCTCTTGCAAATTTACATGTCTAAGATATTAATTGAGTTTTAATGCAAAGTTGCATAGAGGCGATCGCAGATAACATGAAATTGTAGATCTGGTTTTCAGAAAATGAATTCATCGAATTAGAATTCTTAGTTACACGATTATGAATAACATTTTACAAAACACCTACACTGGAGAAAATAGTATTGAATCAGTATATTTTTCTTAATTTAAGAAATTTTTCTTTTGAATTAAGAAAATTAGTGGATTTACGGGGTTTTCTGAAATCAATGCTATACTTTCTTCAGTGTAAATTGAAATCCTTCTAATTATTGAAAAACTTACCAGATGAAGATCCAGTGTCCTTAATTGTACCAACAACAGAATTTTGCGCGACATTTTCCTTAACGATAAATGTATATCGTGGCCTTTCACAAATTGCTAATCTGTGAACAGCAGATGACGCCGTGATTCTAACTTCAGCGTCCATTGAACTCTTCAGACCTGCAGCATCTGTTGCAGTCACGTTCAACTGATGCACCGACGACCTCGCCAGAAGACTTGGTCGTGCCACATGAATCTCACCAGTGCTTCTGTCTATTCGAAAGATACCAGCTTCATTGCCACCTGATATTCGGAAGTCAACTTGACCAAAAAGACCAGCATCTTGATCGGTTGCCATTACCCTCAATATTGCACCACTAATTGGCTCTGTATTCTTCAAGGTCACATTATAATTTCTCGGATTAAATATTGGTCTATTGTCATTGACATCAGTGATTTCAACACGTACTATTGCTGTTGTACTCAATCCACCTGAAATCAAATATTATATAGAAATTAAAGTGTGAAATAGTTTGAAAGTATTAGTAGCAAAAAAAAAGTAAATCGACAAGGTCGCCTGGAGCTGGTGAACATAAATCACCAGAACTTTTTGTTTTCAAAGCCAATCAACCTTCTCTCATTTCCTCTCACTCCTACTGACTTTCGGTTATCTTTCTTTACAGCTAACGTGTGCGCGGCAGCAAAAGGTCCATCCCTCTCTTATTTGCAAAGTTAATATTCCGGGGCGCAATATTTCAAGTGTAAAAACATTTCGTCGACCACTATCGCAGCATCTGCTTCTTCTTCTTGCAATGAAAGATTAAGGCGTAACAGTACATTAGAAGTAGATCAAGATTCCCTAGAGTTCGTTTCTACAAGATTTATGGTAAGGAGGACCTTTTAGCTGTAACTCACGAATTTCTTCTTCAAGACTCATCATTTGAATTTTTGACACGTGAGCAATTTTTGATAAAAATATATTACTCCCAAGTAACAATATTTTTTATCCTTTTGATCTGCTGGATCTTTTTGGAAACATTTTTCGCGAGTAATATTGCGGTAAGAAATCTTTTTGAAACGTGCACCCTATGTTATCTTGATAAAAAAAGAAAATATAAAATAAGAGGGACGATCCTGTGGGCCGAGGGCTGTTGGCTGGTCAGGTTTGGTCTCTGACGCATGACTCCAATGACACTCGCACGTACCTGTAAATCATTTTACGCTCCGAGCTCCGCCAGTCGAGTCCATACATTACTATGAATTACGGATGTAAACCGTTTAAACATCGGATTACCCGTTTTACATACTGTCTTTAATATTAACACTTGCGTTAAGCCTTATCCTTAAAGCAGTCTTATAAACGGTAGTTCAAGAATCTTAAATTCTTCCGTAAAGTAGGATTTACGAATATTCGCCAAAGACCCTCAATCACTCCCCAAAAAAGCGATAGGTTTTTAGGAGTCTAATGTCCGCCCTGGCGCTAGCATCGTTAACCAACAAAATCAAACTAGAATTTTTTAACGGATATTCAAAGTAGCTATTGTTGTACAATCGGTAATTGTTACTCGTTATATGGATAGTGCATACAATTGTCCGAAACTGTTATCGATTCCCGTACAACATTACAATAGGATTATTACAATCGGCGCTATGACATGAGCACTAAATGTGGGGACAAAAACATTTTCATATGATTTATACTGTTCAGTTGTCGTTATACTGCTTAGCGTTATATGTTTTGTATAGCGACCGCCAGAGGGAAAATACTAACCATAAATATCACTAATACGCCGCTGACGCCACATCGTCGTGCGAATAATACTGTTTCTACTTTTCTATCTATTACGCACAATTATCCAAATATAAATCCATAATCATTTTCTACTTTTTTTCTATAATCTTCAATTCTAGTAAAAAATTAGAATTTTGTTTTTAAAGATGCAAATTTTCTATTCCTACCATACACGGGGCTATAAGTAATACAACTTAGTATGCACTACCCAAACCAGAAAGTCGTTTCAAGAACATAAACATAGCGTTGAAACGACTAAGCTCATATGCATAATATGATGTCTCAGGCTATATTATGAATTCATGATTCTTATATGAAACGAAAACAAAAAGAAACCAAAAATAGAATTTTTGAATTTCAGTTACAGTTTTTTTTCAAAGAGAACTTCAAAGAAGAATTTTTTGAAGCATGTGAAAAAGTTTTGTAATTGGCGTATACGCAACAGATCAATGGACTTCAGTCATTGTCCTACCCATATGGGCAGAGTGCACAATCCTTGAAAATATAGGCGCAGAGAACACTTGTAACATAAATCATACAGCCTATTATAGAGCTACTATAGATCATATCTTGGCGATAGCCACTTTTTCTCAAGTCTTCACACACAGGGTTTTCTTCTTCTTTATCTTCTCGACTCTCGATACTTCCGCTACCCTTTTTTTCTATTTTAAATTAAAAAATATTCAAAAGATATAAAATCCTTTATTTCTTTCTCGAATCGAAAAAATTTTATATTGTTAATATAAAATTGAAATATTTAAATACTGACCTCTATCGGTGGCAATGACCGGCAATTCCAAATACGATGCAGACTCCCTGTCGAGTGGCGACTTGACACAGATTTCTCCAGTGTCACTCCGAACGAGAAGCTGTTCACTGGCTATTTTACTCGCCGCCAAAGTATAGTTGACCATGGAATTCACACCACAATCAGGATCCGTAGCTTGTACCTGTAAACAAATGAAGAAAATTGATTATCAAAAATTTTAACAAAAATTTATTAAAGAGAGAAAAATAATTTCTCAACGAAAGAAACAGCTTTGTTTAATTTTTTTTTTGCTTAATGTTTCTGAAACGGGATATTGCGAAACGGAAAGAAAGAGAGGCCCTCCATTCATAATGCACGCGATGACTAATTTCCGTGGTGGGCCTATTTTTTTTTTCTTGGACGTACCAAACAGCAGACGGATGGACTCCCAACTGTGGTTATTTATGGGGTGTAGTACAATGATTCCCTTGATATAAACCCTTTTTTTAATCCTCGATTTGTTTATTACTTTCCAGTATATCTTTTGTTGGTTGAAGGTTTTTTTTTTAATCTACTCCAATATGTAAGTAAAATTAAAGAAAACAAAAAAAAACCTTGTGGTATGTTTATAACAGATTTAGGAAGAGAGAAAAGACGCCCTCAACCAAACAATCATGCAAATGAATTACTGCAACGACTGCAACTATCGGTGCTGATCTGCTCAGCTAATTCAAATTCCCTTAGGTTATATTCTCCTTTCCCCTTCAATATATGTTATACTTTTTTCCCTTCCATCTACACATCTTTCAATTAATCTTTCGATTTAGTTCAGTTTCCTCTAAATATAGTATAAAAGTACTTGTCAGAAATGCCTAGTTTTATAAAATAGTATTTTTGTGCTTTCAGTGCAATACTGTACATGTGATCTTATAGGTAAAAGTGATCTGCTTTACCAACTGTTGATATTTAGTTAAAAAGTAGAAGATTTATCTACAAGATCATATGTACAGTATTGCACTGACAGCACAAATGTAATATTTTACAAAACTATTTGTTTCTGCCTACAAGTACCATTTTTTTAAGTTTTAGCAAACGGCTTGCTCAATAAATCTTGTTTTTATTAGGCTCTCCAAAAGAACAAGACTAAAAATTTACTGCTTTAGTGTTCCAAAAATTAATTCTGGAAAGAAACATTTAATTTTGGTTAAATTCTTCATTGTCTCCTAAACGGTTTTTCAAGAATTTTCCTTCCTTGTTCTTTCCTTTAGAATGGAATGCCAATGTTCTGTTCCGGTCTAATGGTTCTAACGACGCGATCATCGCAACATTTCTAATAAATTCTTTTGTAATCTAGCTTGATAATACAAATGGAGCAAGTGGAGTGTAATCAATGGAATGAGAAATTTTTTTTCCCCTCACAGGATATCTAAAGCTTTATATAACTTTAAAAGAAAAGAAGATGAAGCAAAAGAACGTGGAGAGTAGTCTTCTTACTTTCTTAGAGTGTACACCAAAGATATACCATGAGACGCCATTGTTCCTCTGGTTTCGTTTTATGTGACCTTGGGCGGAATATCGATTTCAATCGGAGTATATACGGAATACAATCCAATGCGGATCCCCCTCCTCAACGAAAGGGTCCGACTAACATCTGCTCGCGAGATTATGTACGAGAGCAAGGTTTCTCTTCTTCCCCGCATTGAAGGTCACCTTGGATTCTCTATTCGTTCTATTTTTCTCCATACCTCGCGATATATTTATGGTAAATCAATTTTTTTTCCCATTCCCAGACTTCATTTAGAGAACAATGAACAAGTTCTTCCAGTTCAATTTCTTCATTTGTTGTTTTTGTTATTATTTTTTAAATCATTTTTCATCTTTCAATTAGTTCCACTAGATGTGCACTTAAATGTTATTATTTCGTAGATTGCTATTACCAAGTAATCCTTTAGAAAATAAAGAGATACGAATTCTATGCAAAGAATTCAAAGAATTATTGCTGGTATTTCTCTATACTGGCAAAATGGTAAGGAATAAATAGTTTAGTTTTATAAACAATGAAAGGAAATTTTCCATAAAAAACAACGGAATGACAATTAAGTAATGTTTTATTCGCGTGATAATGTCATGAATACCTAATTCATGGTTGGAATTAGTTGGAAAAATTATTAATGATGAAATAATCCTATGTAGGATAGACCAATATCATTAAAGAAAATAGTCTAAATAAAAAATTACATTAGAATAAAGTTTTCTTTTTTTTGGGAGGTAAAAAAGTAAGAGAATTTCCGGTATTACAAAAGACACATTTAACGGTGGCTGTCCTCATGGGTTATAAAGTGCAATGTCGAGGATGGTTCTCAGCATGCTAGCGTCTTTAAAGGATGCGCAAAAGCTCTCTTCTCCATTTCGTTACTCTTCGTCTTCTTTACGTATAGTGAAATGGCCAATGCCGTTGAGCGCAAATGCAACAGGTACAAATTGTCTGGGCGCAAAAGTTATCGCAGTAAATCGTGGATGACGTAGCGCAACACATCTGGTATGTTGACTTTTATGCATTATAGCCGCACAAGTAAGAAGAAGTTGGTCTCAATGACAGTAGTGCATTAAAAAAAACATTATTCCCTCTATTTTTCATCGTTGTCATAATTATCTATTAGGCAGAGCCATCTTTATCGAACAGATTTATGTTAAATTGATTTTCAAACAATTTAAGAAAAATTTCAGAACATAATATTTCTGTACGCATCAAAAATTCCCTATGGAATTTACTACATGCGCCATCTATTGACGGATATTAGTTTCTATGTGGAGTACCGACATATATTCTAAATTTTTTGACGCTTTAATCATTTGTCATGAACAGATTGAGCTTCTGGATTCTTAATGAGCAATTTGCTTTTTAAGGGTACTGTATCAGGTGTATGATAGACACTTTACAGTCATTAGTCTCTTAGCCTAGAGCAATTTTATACGACGTTGAGTTGATTATTTCATATAGAGGCTAGTCTCGCAGATAAGAATAAGTTGCCAAGGGAACTTGCGTCACTTTAACAGAGGACTTAATGCTTTGTCACGAAACATTTTTTTTTTCTATCGTCTCTCTTTCTCCTTGAGTCCGATTATCCACACAGAAGTTTGCGTACATGAATTGCTCCTCCCGTGCACGCACAATGGTATACACTTGTTCAAACTAAATACAGATACAGCTAATTGTCATCGGGTACAATGTGTGTGTGTGTGTGTCTATTGTTTTATACATTGTTAGGAATAACTTGTTTTGCATTTCAATCTTTGTGACAATGACACCCACGTATGTTACTTCCGCTAACAGTAAAAAGATATTTAGTTCCACGAAATTAGGAATTTCAATTGAGAAAAATGATTATGTTCTCATAAGTGATGTAAATAAGGATTATATATAAAATTATCATTAAGATGTGAACCTTTTTCTAGTCTAATGAGCATTTGAATCTCAGGCCTACTCACAATACAGACATAGAAACAAAAAAGAGCGGAGACAGAAAACATTGCGGAACATGCAACAGAATAAATGCTTTGAAGAAAGATCTCATATAACTTCCTAGTTTCCCTATATACGGGATTCCCTGCCAGGATACCGTACTCTCATTCAGATATTCTTATTCAAGATCACACTAATTGCATACTAATTTCAGTATTATAAGATTTAAAATTACATTTCTAGCACCTAGTGTGGGTGTTATAAAATGTATCATAATTAAAGTCGTCTTTCTGAATTTCCAAGCTTCTATATATGAGAATCATAATGATGAAATATTTCAGGTATATAAAGCTATAGAAAATCAAGAAGAACAAGTTCGGTATTAGATGGAGAATCAATGTGTGTAAGAAGGATAAAGGAAGGATGGCAAAAAGTATATGATAACTTTACGGAGGGACTCTCGAAGCTACCGTGACTGACAGTTCTATAGAGTTCGTTGGGTTTGCTGGGCTTTGTACACAATTTCCCCTTTCCCTTTGCGGTCACTCGTTACACCACGCGGTATTAAGTAAGCATAAAAGCATGCACACATTATGTAATGCATTAGGTATGTTCTCTATTCGACAATATCTTCTAGTTGTAATTATCATCTCTTTATAAATAAATAATCACATAAACTATGTACATTTGGATCAAAAATACTCTCCGATAGTTGCTCTCAAGGCGGTATAGTGAATTTAAGGAACAATTTCCCTCAATAATGGGAATTTGTTCTTAATTCATCAGTTCGGAATTCATCAATTCGGAGTCCATCAATACTAAATTATCAGTTCAAGGTTCATCAGTCTTGAATCCATCAGTTCGGAATGTATTCGAAAAACATTTCTCTTAATTCCAATTTCTCTTAGCAAATTAATTAATCAATAATTTAATTTGTAAACATCGGAGATGAAGATCATAAGGTAGAATTTCGGTATCTCTCTATTGACAAAAGATGCTTTGAATGCTTATACTCTTTTATATATCGAACATGAGGGGAAAGTATAAGTGTTTTTATTTTCAAAACCCCCGCGTAGTCATTACTTTTCGAACGTCGCGCGTGCTACCATGCGTCTCTGCGGTTTTTTGCCCAGTGAACCACTCAGATAGAGCTGTCTGTCTGTCTGTCGCGCCGAGTAAACCGAGTAGCCATGCCGCCATCACCAACATTCCCGTCTTGTCGCCTCATTGCTTGACAGTCGTTCACGATCTACCACCGGAGATGTTCTTTCTCTTTTTTCATATACCATTATAGATAATATTCCTTCTACACTGAATGTAACTAAGAATATCATTATTGCTAAAGTTTTTTAAGAAAGGTATTTCTTAAAACTAAATTACAAAAATGTCGCGCGCAATGTCAGACTTATGTACTGAGCGCATAATTACTCATGAAGCGACCTGTACGCTTCCTTTAACCTTTGCTCTTCAGAGCGTATGTTTTTGCCGCGCATCAGCAAGCAGTCGCAAAGGGGATATATAGACGATCCAAAGAAAGCCCACTCTTAAGATTGCCGCCACGGGAATCAGCCAGCGGGTCGGTGCCCGGTAATTGCGATGAAATATTGCGACCACTTCTCATTAAAATAGTTTAATATATATTTGTCAAGCTATCGCCGTGCAATGTATGTGCTGCCATTTGTTTGCGCCTTGCTCAACTGTTGGCGTGCCGCTTTATTTTTCCTGAATTCGGCATCCAC